TATATACTTCTTATACTAAATACTTGATATATACTGGTATTTATAAGTGATAAAGTTAATTCCACTGTCACATTATTTCTATTTGAAAGTTACAGAAATACGTAATGATGGCTATTGAAGATTGCATTATTAAAGATTGGGATTCTTTTCAAATGTTCATTGAAATCAGTGTATGTTAGCAGATCAAGAATAGGATTTTCAGTATTGTTCAGTGCTTGCTTAATTCTTTCTGCTAACTGTTGAGAAGAATGAAGCCATTACGATACAGTTATGAAAATGCCACTCTAAACTTATAGTATCTTTTGGGCTTAAATAATAAACAATTTAATGCAAGTAGGAAAAAGATAAAAGTTGGAGTCTGCCAAGAACTTTGTAAGTTGACCTGCTGTCTATGCTTTAAACACAAGTTGTGCTGCTGGAGGAATGTAATGCTCGTAGAGCTTTTCTTTACAGGGGAACATACAGGAATAACGTTTGGAATAACTCAAGGAAAGGAGTCCACCTCTATGTTTTCCTAAGTTTCCCGGTAATTATTTGGGTCATATTTACTGTCTCCGAGCAAAGACAAAGCACTTTGCTGAAACTCTTCCCATGTTAAGACTATAAGAGGTGTTCTTGGTCTACCACACAAGCTGGAAGAGAACTGTGATCTAGGGTCACACTCTCAGTATTTTAGGTGCAAAAAGGTTGAAGGAAGCCTTTGTGTGAGCAATGTTTGTAAATTCGCCATTTGTCCTTCTAGCTTTGTTAACTATACGCAAGGACTCAGTTATAAGATCTTTTGACTAAGTAACTCTTTTCAATATCTATTGTAGCAAAATGTTGCAAGTAATCAGCTATCATGAAAACACACTGAGCATATGTTTGTATTTTATACTCATTAATCCATGGATATTTTTTCTAACAACGAGAGCAAAGAGACATTCTTCAAAAGTAGCTGATAGAGATACTCAAAAATTGCAAAGAACATCTTGTGGAAAGGCTTGATGAAAGGTTTTCTGCAGGCTTGATGACTGTTCTTCCAGATAAAAAAATTTCTATGACAAAACCATTGATACAGAAGAAGGCAAAAGGGATCTTGGCAGAAGAATTACTACCTGAGTTTTTCCTTAACTCGGGTAAGTTTTCTTTTACCAACACAGGATAAAGGAAATAAAGGAGTTTTATAGGCTTGTTGTAACTACAAGAAACTCCAAAGAATAGGAAAACGTAGGAAGATTTCCCCTCAGGGGGAATTTGTTGAATTGCAGCATAGACATCTAAGAGAAGCTGTGGAAACCGCATCACTTGAGAATGTATTACAAAGAGCAAACCTGTCCAGGTAAAAGAAACGGGTATGGTAACCTAGTAGTTCACTCTAGTATCTTATTTCTAAATTTCAGTGACTCCTTATATCCTCTAGGACAAAAAAAAATGCTGTGAAGGCTGTGCCAAAAGAAAAAGGGCAGGGGGTTCTGCTGTACTTACTCTTGTTAAGCAGTATTTATTCCCTGTTTCGAAGAAGAAAGCTACACTCTGAGTAAGAATACTTGGTCCAAAATAGGACCAAACTGAAACTGGCCATAAAGAATTTCAAGGGGATTTATGCCACACAGGCTAACACATATAAAACGCTTGAGAGCTGACTATTTTGATAAACAATGAATTACCAAGGAGACTGATTCAACAGTTGGCCCTGGTATTCCATACCTCAGGAGAGAGTCTACAGACCATGGCTGCATAATGTCAAACATAAAGACTTTCCCTGAGCGACTCATACAGCGTAACTGCTAACAGCTGCAAAGAAAAAGACACACAACCACTGAGACTGAGAACAAACTAAACTTCAACAACACACCTTACTTTTCAAAATAATCAGCCTTTAGATGTTTTGGGAATTTTCATCTGAACTTTTCATCAGCTGCTGCTGTGACAATTTGCTGTTGTGTCACTAGCAGGAACGAACGGTTGTACGTGAGAGTTGTATCATTGCACTCTATTTAACACGCTCACTTTCCAGCCTACCATTTACAGTGGAGAGACTAGAAAAGAGGTAGCTGGTAAAACTGGGCTTGCCTGTTATTCTACAGAGTGTTCATCTGAGTTGTTTCCTTTTCTTGGGACCCAGAAACACAGCATTCCCGTCTATGACTCTGTGATGGGTCCCCCAACCACCTTCACTCAACATACTTTTTTATCTTTACCTCCAACATGCACCTGACTCCACAAAAAGGACCATCACATCCCACCATTACCCTCGCAAACTTGTGGACTTTTCCTACAAGTTAACACTAGCTTTAGCTTCCTTGCTTGGACCGATGTTTTATGTACTCAAACTGCAAACTGCTCTGTCCAGGGACGTGGCCCTCTTCTGTGTAACTCCAGGTGCTTTCACTGTACACATATAAATAGGAATCTCTGATCTACATTGGCATAGAGAGCACTTGAACACCTTTCTGACTAGTGCTAGGCTAAAATAAGTTGCACTACGTTGCTTGGAAAAGAGGGTAATTCCTCCAGGTGAGATGCATGACACCGTCACAATTGCCTCTTCCAAACACTGGATTTTATTTTTCAAGTATAGCCTAGTCTGGTAACAGGGAGTGTAAGGAAGAGAAGGGTCTGGAGGTAATCTCTTTATTATGTTGAGTTTAAGTGTATATTGGAGCGCACTGTCTGTGCACAGGACCACGAACACCTGAAAATCTCATGCCAGGGATGGAGAGGGGTAGTAATGGGGTGGCAGAGGCAGGTGACAGCACAGAGGTTCTTTGCTTCGTGCTCCCAGAGGCTCTGCTGAACAGAGGGCCAGGACCTGTGCACCACCAGCCTGTACTTACACTTCAGCCAGCGGGCTCCGGCGTGCGTGTCCTTGTCGCGGATCAGCCTCCTCTGCGTGCAGCTCCTGCAGAGGTACCACAGCATCCACAGCAGCTGGATGAGCATCAGGGTGATGAGGTAGGAGAGCAGGTGGCTCTTGCTGATGCCCACAGCATGCACAGCCCAGGCGAAGGTAAGCAGCAGCCCAGCCAGGAACAGGTTGATGCCGTACTGGCTGCTGAGGATCTCGGCGTTTTTTTGTGGGTAGCTGCCCGCCACGGAGGGGGAACCGGGGGCTTTCTCCATCTCCCACACCGCCGGCCAGGTGCTGCAGGCAG